CTTTCCATCCTACTTCAAAGGTTTCTGTAAAGCTGTCTGACACACTCATGTTAGCTTGTGCTAACAAGCAGTTTCAGGCTGTGGCTGAAAGGTTGGGAAAAACACTCGTCACACCTCTGCTGCAAAGGAAGGAAGATGAATAGAAGAATCCGGGATTTTTGTTTTGTTTTGTTTTCCTTGTCATCACCTGGTTGGGTCCGTGAACTGCTTTGAGACTCACCAAGCAGAGGGAGAAGACTCGAGTGCCTGACAGCAACAGGGTGCCTGTTTGTGCTTAGTTCATTGAGGAAATTGTTCCGGAACAGCTGCTCATCCATGTGAAAATGCAAACTCTTGGGTCCCCGCCAAGGTCAGCAAGCCCTGGGTCATTTGTTTTAGCAAAGCAGGCCAATTTGCCCTTTAATTATCTTTCCTTTTCATTTGGTCACACCTCTTGCTCCATAAATTTACTTCCTGAGAAGCGCTGTAGTGGAAGATGTGATACCAGTTTTGTTGTGAATCACAGGGAGGCCTAATGTTTTTTCATGGATTACTTATAACTGTTAAACTTTATAAAAGTATATGCATTTACCTGGCTGGATTTAATCTTCTACTTATCTAGTGCAGTAGGCTCATGTTACTAAATGTACAGGATTCTTAAATTTCAAAGTAAAAGTGTCCAAATAATTAAATTTAATATTGTTTCTATGCTAATGTAGGTTTTGTGGTGTGAAACAGTAAGTCAGGGTGTGTTTGCTAGAAACAGAGCTGAGAAATTCCTGAGCTTCAGAGAGTTTTCAGTGACTGGTCTCAGAATGGGAACTTCATAACAAAGTCTTGGTGTAGGGTCTGTAACAAGCTATGCAAAATTGTCAGTGGATACATGGGAGTAAAACAGGTGTTCATGTGCTGGAGCTGGATGTGGAAAATCCTCTCCAGTGAACATCATTTAGAAATTCAGAGAGAAAAGCAATTCTCTATAAGCAGTAAGGAAAGGAAAATAGTGCAGTAAAATCACTTTTTTTCCTTGTAATGCTGTGTGGAAAGAAACAAATAGGAAAGATGGATTGCTACAGCTGGAGGAACTGAAATGTCAGGTTTTGGCTCCTATAATTTAAGGAAAAAATCTAATTAAGCTGATATTAGTATGTCCATAAAAGGTCACTCAGGAACAAGAAAAAAAGCATATGTATTCCAAAACTGGTTTTATACAAGAATTTTGAAAGTGTCATGGTTTGCAACTAAGGCTAAAATTAGCCTTGAAAACCTCAGGACGGAAGTTTCTCAAGTAGATTGTGGCATAATTCCTGAAGGAATGGAAGTGGCCAGAAGAACTGACAGTTCTCCTGTGACAGAAGGATCCTCTTGGCAGACACAGAAATCAGAGGGAGACTGATTTAATCTGCAGGTTCATGTGATATACCATGATAAGAGAAGGATTATAATAATTGTCCTTCTTGTTAGATTTCATGTGCAGCTGTTTTTTAGAGGCAATACATTTGCCAAACCTTTTTGGTCATCTGAAATGGTTAAAATAATCAGCTTCCACGCCATCAGAGGAGTGACAGAGCAGCACAAAAGGGGGAACATGTGGCTTGGAAGAGGAGGACGGGTTCTTCTTCCTGGGGTGTCAAGCTGCTAATTAGCTCTGCCACAATATGAGACCGAGTTGCTTCTTTTACTGCCCGTTAATTATCAACATGTGTTAGAAAAGTGAAGACTTTGTGCTTTTGCAGCTGGGGTTTTGTCACCTGTGTGGGTAGATGGGCTTCAGTGCCTTCAGCCTGGTGGCTTCTCCACTTTTTCCTCAGTTCAGAGAAGGGACAACCTGCATTTTGGATGTAGCCAACACCAGGATTTTTGGGGCAGCCCTCCAGAAGCTGATGGAGGTGCTCTGCATTTACCATGTCAGAGCTTGGAGTGGACTTTGGCCTCTTGTTTTGTCAGCAGAGGTGGTCAAAGCCCTTCTGGCTCAGTTTCATTATGAATGCAGGAGATGACCTCGGTTTGTTAACAGTATTAAAAAGTAATAAAGTGAGCTCATTTCAGCATCCATGCTAGAATAGGCTGACTTCTCATTGAAATTAGATTTTATATTGAACCACAAACTTCAGTTAAAGCTTGCAGAGTTCTAACTCTCTAGAGGACACCCTGTGGATACAAACAAATGAGGAACACCCTTATCTAAATGTTGCATTTTTAACAGTTTAAAGTAATTTACATAACACAAAAATACTTAGCCTCAATTAACCTCAGAAAAGGTTTGGTTTTGCGACTCATTGTGCTGGGGTGGTGGGGTCTGTATTTTACTTGCTACCACTTCAAGTTGCTTTGATGTTGTTGAGGAGAGAGATGAAATAACGTGTGCTAAAGTCATTTGGCCAGCCTTGAAATCAAAGCACTGGAAACAAAATCTAGCTGCAAATCACTAGGCTGTCATTCCTTCAAAACCTGTTACCCAAATGACTTTAACAGTTTGTGGGTCATATGCAAGGTTAAGAATCATGTTGCACGGTGCATGTTTCAATGATAAAACACAGTATTTTAAATTATTTTTTTCTTGGAATGGGAGGGATACAGTCAACAGTATTGGTGTGGGAGTTGGGTTTCTTCTAGCAAGTAGATCACTACTCCATGTGAGCAGTTGGCACATGGTTCAGAAGGACAGATACAAGGCATGCCAAGCAGAGTGTTTCTCATTTGTTGTTTAGAGACTACCTGGTTTGTATGTGGAAATGTCAAAATGTTTCCATTTTTCAGAGTACCTATTTTTTGAGAGAAATTGGCTAGGGCCAGTGCAGTTGTAAGTAGAAAGCATTTTAGTGGGGGACTGGAAGAGGTTACATTTTAAAGCTTTATTCTAGTAAGCAGAATTTACTTGTAACATTGTAATTATTGTCTACTAAAATTGGGAACTCAGGTTACTTTGTTTTATACAGACTTTTCAGTTTTTCAGGTTTTAGAAATTACTGATGAGGAATGAGTCACCTAACAATGTTAATTGTTCATTTTACTTAATCTCAGGCATGTTCCATCCTGAAGAACTGAACTGAACTCCCCCAAAAAGTGTCATTGTGTTTTTACTGGTGTTGGCTGTTACGTACAGGTGTACTGTCCAACTTAGTGTGGAGTGAAACTTGGCAGTGAATAGAAACCAAAGTAGATTCAGAGAGAAATAAAAAGCCATATTCCTCAAAAGAAATTTGCAGAGACTTTTTTAATAGAGAAAACACATTTACTCAAATAATATTTCTGTAAAATTATTTCTGAACCAATTGTCACTTCATATTTTTGATGGGTTTAGATAGAGCTATTTAGATGGTAACTTCCCACCATGAATTGCTCATACTGATTTTCTTCCATTCACACTAAAATTGTTGAATATCTGAGGAGACAAATAAGGCTAAAATGGCTATAGAATAAGGTGGGAGAAGAAAAGCCATATGAGATGAGTAAGAAGGAAAAGTAGTAACTTCTTTTTCTTATTGGGGCTGCAGGTAAATTCCCTGCATAGTTAGGTACAAGGAAGGATGTAAAGCAGCAGAACCACACACCTAAAATTACTTAATTTAAATTTAAACTTCAGAGGTTTCATGTGCTTAATATGCTTGATGATAAATTACTGTATTTCAAATCTAGATGTGACTAGTAAAAACCATATGTGCTGATTAGCCTATAAATAACTGGATAGAGAAAATGAACCAAGGTCAGAGGAGGTATAAATAACTCAGATGGATTCCTGTGTCTAACTTGCATTTTGAAGTCCTGAAGCAATATCATGCTTATTGCATGATAAGCAGCCTGAAGAGTATAAAAATGTAGATGGATAGTGAATGACTTTTTGATCATTTAATGAGGATTGGTGTTGCTGGGATCAGATAACAGGCTGTTGGGGATTTGATATGATTTCTCTAAGCTCTAGGAGCAGTCACTTCTCAAGGCCATCACATCCCATCTGTGTCTGAAGTCCTTCATGTGTTTTAGTGTTTAGCTTCCTTGCCTAGATGATACAATTTGGAGATGTTAGATGGCTTCTCCATCAGAGGTTAGGAAGTTATCCTTTGTATTGTCAGTCAAAACTAAAATTGAATTTACAACAGCGAGAAGCAGAGCTCTCTCAAGAGTGTGACCATGAATATTTTCTTGGCCCATGGCAAATAATAAGGAAGTAATTAAATTAGCTTTGCTTTTTAAAAGTAGTCAACTTTCATGGCAACCATCTGTCTGATGTTTGGGGGGTACATTTCATTGACTGCTCTGTATCATCTTCCCAGTTTTAATGTGTGAATCAATGAGGAACTGATTGAACTGTTTCCGTTTGGTCTAGACCCTTTCTTTAAGCTGTGAGGCTCTGCTTGCAAAACTCAGCAGGTCATGGCACTTGCTTTGTTATACTTGTACTCAGTGCCTCAAAATGGAACTTACATGTTCAGGGCTGGATTTTTGAGTGGAAACCATAAGCTTCTTGCTTGTATAACCACATTCCAAGGTTTGTCTGAATAGCTGAGATAATGAATTTGGTCTTTGTGCATTCTTAAATACATAGATAGTTTTTCACATATGTGATTTTTTTATTTTTTGCTACAATTGGATGCTTTCCTTGGGAGCTGCCTAATTCCAGGCTGCACAGCTTCTGCTTTGTTCTCTGCTCTCATGCCTTCCACAAGAATAACTTAACCAGATTTCAGTGTAGGAATTGTGGACTGCTAAAGGACATATTCTGTTACTGCTTAATGCTGTACAAGCTGATCAGTGGGTAATACAAAGTCTATGTTTTAGCTGTTTTATGATGAAAATATTATTTCAATGGAATATATGGTAAAGTCATTGAACGGGGATCTTATTCTCAGAATGGTGGCACACAGCATTTTCCATATACCAGACATTAGTGGAGCTGCTCATTTTGTTATTGCAGGCTTCAAAAGCAAAGCTATTTTTAGCTTTCTCTGACCAATTGTGTGATAAATTATTTTTTTTTCAACTGGAAAAAAAGAAATATCTTATTTCTGTCTTTCTCTTAGGACCCGCGGAGGTTCCCATGATGTCACCCAATGGATCCATTCCCCCTATCCACGTGCCTCCTGGTTACATCTCACAGGTATGCTTCTTGATGAATTGAAGTACCTGTAAAAGCAACAGCACTCATCCATACAGAGAAATCTGCTTAGTTCAAGTTTAACTTGGAAATACTGGTTTAAACAGTAATACATGTTTTCCTATTCCTCCTCTTTACTAGCAGCACTGAGCGCACACGTTTGCACAAGTGAGCATCCATGTGCACCTTCACACACACCAGTATGTGTGTGTGTGTGTGCCATGTAGGTTTTAAGACTAGCAGAAGCTAAGCATACAGGTTGTGCCTGTATTGCAACTTCTTTCCCTCTTGTGAGCAGTCCGTGTTCTTCTGTGATGCTTTCATTTCTAGTGTGACAGTCAGAATGGGTAGGGGACTGGTAGAAGTGAGAGAAAGAGCCACTGGAGCTATAAAATAAGCTGTTGATCCTAAAGAACTTACACAGCAGAAACAGTGCAATGTCTAAAGAACTGGGAGTTTTGGTTTGTTTTCAAGCATAAATGTGATTTAATTTTCTATTTAAGGGGGGAAAAAGGAAAAGTCTTCACACAAAGCTGTTAAGTTTTAGAACTCTTCAGAAGCTACTGCTCTTTTCTGTAAATAACCACTTCAGATTACCAAATAATTGTGTTCTTCCATCTTCTGTGAAGCTTTAGACTCTTTCTGAAGTAAGGAAGAAAAAAAAAAAGAACAAAACAAAGGTTGATATAAGGCAGAATAGCTGTGAACCACCCCATAAATGCAATTATTTCACCCCTTTCATTGAAGGACTGGACTGTGAGCTTCGCTGAAGTAATACAATGTATTTCAGATACCCTTAATGACTAGCATAAGAAGTTTTGATATATATAGTTTACGTCTTGTTAAGCAGAAAATAAATGATGTCCTGGAATCCCTTCCCCTCCCCATGTGAGCTTGTGTAATTCTGAAAAATTGTGGATGGCGTCATACTTAAATCCCACAAAATACTGCAATTGCTCTGTGGTATTTTAGTTTCTGAACAGACTGCAAACATGCTTTAAGGAAGGGGGTCATTGTTAGGCTAGGAGAGAGGGCAGGACAGCAGGGTGGTCCAGCTTCCTCCTGCTCTCCAAACATCCCAAAGTGGGTGGTTGGGGTATGTTTGAGGCAGCATTTGCCATTTAATACTCACCATGTGCTCACCTAATTTAATAAACTGACCTGTATAATGCAGAGGAATTTTTTAAAGATTTACTCCTCCTTTGAAAAGACTTTAACACCTTTACATTATTAAGCTGTTTATACCTCTCAGCCCCTGCACTAAGACAAATGGTTGGGTTTAATTGCAATGCTTTCCAAACCTGAGTTATTAAAGTGTTCCAATTGTATCTCTGTCTGAATTAAATTAATCTTTAATTCTTTCTGTGGGACACTGTAATAATTCCACCAAGGAAGATTTTAAGTAGCTTCTTAACAAAAAAACCCCAACAACCAGAAACCTCCTTCTGAAGAAATTTTTCCAAGGAGCTGGAAATATTTTGCCAAGTTTCAGGGGAAAACTCTGTATTGAGTGCTTTTCAGCAGCAGAGCAAGCCTCTGGCCTTTCAGACTGCTTCATGTTAAATAGTAGTTGAAACTGTATAGTAATCAAATTAGTTCTTATTATAGTAAATGGCCCTGCCTTATTTATTCTTGACTTTGTCTATTGCCTCATAATTAAAAATTCTATTTTATGATGAACAGTGAGATCACAAATTTAGAATGGCAGAGGAAAGGCCATAATGCAAATTAAAGCTTTCTGAGATAGGAATCAAAATGTATGTGATTTTTGGTTTGATTTGTCCCCAAAGTGTGCATCTAAGAGTCAGGCAGAAGGCAGAAAACCCTGCTTGGAAGTAACAGTGTCTATTAAAAAAAGCATGTCATCTTTTTACCATTTTGTTATGCCCAGCCTGTTGGAGCTGTGAGTATTAGCCTTATATTAGTTATCTAGTGATTGCAACCCTGGGTTGAAATGATACTTCATTACCTCTTTGGTTTTGTGGAAATGATCAGCAGAAAATAGGCAGGAGGTTTTGTGTCCTGCAGGATCAGCTCCACTGGAAGCAGTGGGAAAACAGATTCCATTTGTAGACTTCAAGGCCCAGATTAGGAGTCTAGATTAGAAGCTGAGTTTGTTGATGTTAAGGAGATGTTCCCAATGATGAGGCTTAGCCAAGGTGGGAAAAAAAAACCCAGGAAAATTATAGGAGACAGATAGATGCCACCAGTTCAGATCTTCCATGCTATGGTTTTACTTTCAAAAACCCATTCAATGCAGCTGGTTATTTTGCATTTGTTTTTCAGCAGACAGATCTCTGTGCGTCTCTGGCAGATAGGAGCTATCAGATCAGAGTTCACGTCTCTGCAATTCTTTGTTGGCTAAGGGTTAGTTAAAGATAAAAGAGAGAAAACGTTCTTTGTTGTGCTCTTGGGAGACGATACTGCTACTTTAAAAGTTAGTTGTGGAAGGTGACATGGTAGGGAAATCTGGATTAAATGCATGTGACGTCAGCAATTTTGGCTTCAGCTGTTGAATGTTGAAGTTGCAGCTCCCCTGATTAGACAGGAGCCAGACAGAAGTGTTAATGCCCATTCTGTTTCTGAGATGTGGGTTCCATGCCACAGGAATCCTACAGGGCTGGTTGGGAGCCCACATACCACTGGGATGTTCACTGGTGGCTTCTTTCCATCAGGGTCTGTGGCACTTTTCCTGGCTTCCAGAGCACTCTAGATCCCTGGTGTCAACAAAAAAAAATAAATCACAATTTGGATGCTAAACTATTAAATTTGGAGACATCCTCGTAGCTTTTTGTTTCTGCTTCTCACCTTGTATATTTTGGGGGACAGGAGGAGGATTTGGGGTGTTCTTATGATGAGAGCTAGAAAAAGGGCAGTATCAAAAAGCACAATCATCAACTTGCTTGCTTAGGGCTATTGGCCGAGGTATGTTCTCTCTGAAATGAGTCTGGAGCAGTTCCATTGGAGTTGGAGGAATTGCTTGTGTGTAGTTGGATATGCTAATCTGGCATGAAACTCCACTTTTATTTACAGAGTTGTTAATATTAGGGCTCTGACACAGATTTTTAAGACTAAAGGACTGATTTACAGGTTGGTGCATGAAATATGCATAGTGCTGATAAGACTTTATGTCAGGAAGTAGCACTGGCGTCAGAGTCTGAACTATGTAACTCAAGCCATGGTCCTGCAGTTGGATATTCCTGCATCAAGCACATGGCATTTGACAGAACTGAGGCATATCTTGTAGAAAGAGAAGAGTTTTTAAATAACATTTACAGCAGTAGAAAATCCATCACATCCTCAAGAATTAAAATTTTGGTTTGGGGTACTTTACTGCAAGAGAGGTGTTCTCTTCCAAAACCATGTTTTGCTAGCATGAGCGTCTAGCCACAGACTCTTTGTTTTTGTGTGGCTTACTCCTCACAGAGCTTTTCTGTGTTTTGTAGACTGCAATTGATCAAGGCATCCTTTAACAGGATGATCCTCCCTCTTGCTCTGAACACAAGGCAGGTGGTGCAGATCTCATGCTCCTGAAACAAGCCATAAAGTGATGATCTGTTTCAATTCACGAACGTTGGTCCTGAAGATCTGTGTCATTCTAGATATAATAAACCCCAGCATTCTTGCCAGTATTATAGATGTTCATCTGTCTCTTTTCCAGGTACAAGGTATGGATTTAATACCAGTGTTTGTATGTGATGGATGGCAAAGATAATGATGCAAACTTGCCAGGGCTGGTGTGAACTCAGATTGGCATCGTTAAGAAATTAAGTGAACAAATAAAATGTTGACATCCAAGTTCCCTGTGGATGAGCTCATTCTGTACTGTTTTCTGGTACAGATTGATTTATGAATGAAGTTTCAAATTCGTTTATGAAATTCCCAAAGTATTGGTTATGGTCCACCCAGTGGCCATGCTCCAGATGTCCTTGCTGAATCTAGCCTGCTAAATTTAAGTGATCTAACAATTCTATTGTACTTTTTGGAAAGCAAGTGGAAATTAATTGCATATTACCATATTATACCCATTCAGTGAAACATGCCTGTCTTTATCCTGGGGGTATAGTATTAAATTTCAGTGGAGAAAAATGAGAGAACATGGAGGAGTGACATGCATTGAATATGTGAGTTACCTCTAGTTTCATTGCCACAGTGATGTCTTTAATGTAAAACAAGTAACATTTGGAATGGTATTCTCAAATGGGGCAACTGATGGGGGAGGCAATTTTCTTGTGTATGAGTAATGTTCAGGTTCTCCTGAAAGATCATCTATCTACCTCACTCAGTAATTAAGCTCACTAAATTATGGAAGAAAAAACCACACAGAGCTGTGCTATAATAGCATTGTTATTGAGGTGGCATTCCAGGAGTACCAAAATATAACAGCAAAAGACAATTTACCTATTAACTGTTTGAAAAACACAAAATAATGTAAGTTTAGCTCTAGGTGCCAGATGACCAGAGATACTTGTTTTCTGTAAATATAAACTGCTGAAATTAGTAATAGCAATTGCCTTTAGTATTTCAGTTGCATCTAGAGACCTCAACAGGGATTAAAGTTTTGTTGCTTCTTGTCACTGAACTAGAGACATTTTAGCATACAATGTGTTGTTTCCTGATGAATTGATGATCTTCATGACAGTTTTAAAACATGCACAGAATTGCAGATTTAAATAGCAAAGTTTCACCTCCCTGCTAAATTATGTTATTTACATTAATGGATCAAAACTAATTTGCTCTGTCTTTTATGAATGGAAAATGTCATATCCCAGAATGGCACTACTGCTGTCTACCCACTACAAATCAAGAGATATCTACAGTCTTAACCCTTGGTGTTTTTAGAGCTATCTGATGCATATCATACAGTGGATTACCAATTGGATGATCTGTTAAGGACAGAATAGCATATATACAGATTGTACAGCTTCAGAAATCTATGTGCGTGTATATATATATATATTGCCTAGTTTAGGGAAGAAATGTTCTGCAGGATAGGGAAAG